TGCAAAATGAACTGACAGACAGATTCTGAAATTTGCATGCATTTCCTTCTTGATAGTAAAAATGCTTCAAGATGTGGCTGGGAGAGCTGGGTGGCTGAGGCTTTGAAAAGCCCTTCCTGGTCTCAGCCTCATTTCTCACAGTGTAGTGGTACCTACAGTTGGCCTTCCTGACAGCAGTGACCCCTTACCTCCTCTGCACCCAGAGGAGTCCTAAAAGGGACCATGTGACTTGGGAAGGTGACTTTCTCCAGAGCACTTGAAGGTCAAGGTTCAGAGAGGTGGGGATGGGCAGTGAGGGGCTGTAGAAGGCAGAATGTATAGACACAGTGGGTTTGCAAATCCTGTTCAGTGACTCCCATCATGGCCAGAGCTAATCCAGTGACTAAGGAGGGACACAGTGTAAAGGTGAGGACATTTATCCATGGTCATTCTTCCATCTCACGGCTGCAAGAGGGAAGGAAGTCAGCCTGTAGTCAACCCACTTCCCTGCCTACAAATCTGTCAGGCCTCTTCCTTGAGCGTTTCCTCTGGAGCTGTCTCTCCAGCAGAGTTTCTTAACCTGAGACTACATTTTCAGGGGTTCTGTGAATCTGAAGAAGAAAAAAAGAACAACTTTATTTTTATTCCCCTAAGGGTGAAATGTAGCATGCCTTTCAAATGCACTCTTTTTCACTGGCAATCACAGATATTTTCATATCATAGTTACACATATCAAGAAATACATTTTATATTATGGTCCCACCATAAGAGCTTATTATTTAAGGTCTTAATAAAGAACTGTATATAAAATTGTATCACATACCTCACACCCATTAGGATGGCTACTATCAAAAAAATAGAAAATAATGAACATTGCTGAAGATCTGAAGAAAGTAGAACCCTTGGGCACTCCTTGAAGGAATGCAAAATGATGCAGCTGTGTGCAAAGCAGTATGGTGGTTTCTCACGAACAAAAACATAGAATTACCATAGGCTCCAGCAAGTCTAATTCTGGATCTATACATCAGAGAACTGAAAGCAGGATCTCAAAGAGATATTTGTACACCCATGTTCATAGCAGCATTATTCCCAATAGCCCAAAGGTGGAAGCAACCCAAGGATATACTGACGGATGAATGAACAATATGTGGTATGCACATTCAATGGAATATTATTCAGCCTTAAAAAGGAAGAAATTCTGACACTTGGATGAACCATGAAGCCATTACACTAAGTGAAAGCCATTATGCTAAGTCACAAATGGACTGTATGATTCCACTTCTCTGAGGTAGTTAAGAGTGTTCATAATCACAGAGAAGTAGAATGGTGGTTGCCAGGGGGTGGGGGTACAGGGGAATGAGGAGTTAGCATTGGGTAGTTTTAGTTTGCAAGATGAAGAGCTCTGTCGATGGACAGTGGTGACGGTTGCACAACAATGTGAATGTATTTAATACCACCGGAACTTCACACATCAAAATGGTTAAGATGACTTTTTAAAAAGCTGTCCCAAAAAAAGAACCCCCCCAAAAAACTGTATCACAAATTCAGTTTTAAAAATATTGTTAATTATATTTTGATATGGCTTGTTTCCTTTATAATCTCAAGTGTTTTATTTTATACATTTAAAAGATGATTCTGGGGAGGGGTCCCCAGGCTTCCTCGGGCAGCGAAGGCTCTGCAGCACACAGGCTTGAGATCCCCTGGTCCAAGGCTCTGCTCCTCAAACTTCCTGTAGACACAGAATTGGTGCCTGGATAAACAAGAACGGTCCCTGGAAAATCTGTTTTACTCAAGTGTTACACCTTCTGAACATATTTAAGACGACCTGGGTGTATCATGGAGTAGAAAGCAAACTTTACAGAACTCTCAGGATAAAACATGAAATGTTAAATGCATTTTGTGTGTGTGGCTGGTTGTTTGGCTATGTCTCTGAAACTTCAGGAGTTTACAGTCTTCTCTGTTAAGGATGGGTATGTTCCTTGAAAATCTGAGATGTCAGTTTCCTCTTTAGCCTCACGGCCCTTCAAATTAAGGAGGCTGCGTGGGGTGGCTGAAAGAGGAAAAGTTTCTGCAGAAGAAAAACCTGGGTTCAAATCTGAGCTCTACCAGTTACAGCTGTGTGGCCGTGGGCCCGTTCCCCACCTGCCCCGGGCCTCCGTTTCCCCATTTGTAAAACACAGGTAGATGGCAGTATCTACCTCGTATACAAAACTTCTAGCCCCTAGAAGGGGCGCAACACAATTTAGCTTCAAAAGAGCAAAACCAGGCTCCTTCTTGTATGTGGATACGCTGTCTCCAGGGCCGTCATGGCCTGGGTACCAATTTTCGTCTCAGCTCCTCCACCTTACTCCAAGTGACATGGGAACTCCCTTTCCGTCTCCCGGAGTCTGGATTTGGGGGTCCTCAGTATTTTGGCTGTCTCCTCTTGAGCGCTTCCAATTTGACAATACATCTGAACAAGTTGGTAACAGCCTCAGCCAGGCCAGTGGAAAATTCGCTGCAGCTGAAGTTGCCCCCACCTCACCTGCTTTCACTGCCCTGGGAAGACCTCGACAATCTCCACAGCTTTTATCAGCAATCAAGACGGGCGCTGAGCACCACAACCCTAATCACCAGTAGAGAAGCTGGGTCCAGAGGAGCGGGAGGCAGCGCAGAGCCTTGGGAGGGCCTACACCTGCTGAGCATGCACGTGGCAGGCTGGCCGGAAGCCCGAAGGTGAGCCCGCGCGTGCAACCACCGAGGCTCGCTGGAAGCTTGGAGGCGAGCCCGCACGATGCTTGCACACCACGCACGAGGCACACAGGTGGGCATGCGTGTGGCAGGTGTACTTACACACTTACGGCTCGCCTGGTGGTTTGCCAAACGCTGCCAGCAATTGGCAGCCAGAAGGACAGTCACGGGCCCGAGAGAAGCAGGAGGGCTGGGACCTGAGACCTGGCCACAGGAGGAAGGCCGGGATCCGGAGCGCAAGGTGAGTGCAGGGGAAAACAGCCTGACCAGGTCTTGAGCCAGCTTCCCGCTGTCCGGGGCAAGGATGGCGTCAGGCCTGTGGAAATGAGGCTAGGTTTGAATACTCAAGTACAGTAACGCCAGTTACACACCTGGGCACCCCTCTCTGTTTTCTGGTTGGGCCTCAGGCCCTGCATCACGTGGTCCCAGGTTGCCTCTTCAGTCTCTTTCTCACTGTTTCCACGCTCACACTCTCAGCTCTGGTCACGTCCCCTGCCTTGAGGCAGACTCCTCCTGGACTGTACCCTGGAATGAATGTCCCAAGCCTAGCCCTGCCCTCCGGAAAGAACAGCCAGCTCTCCCACAGTGGTCTTACTGACACTGCCCTGGGCCTTCTGTTGGGAGCCAACCTAGTCCGCAGGTGCGGAGCCTGTGCACAGATGGCCGGTCTGGGCGGGGGAGACTCAGGCTCTGCAGGCTTCCTTTTCCTTTGAGGCCAAAGATGGGCTGCGATCGGCACATGTTGGATGTGCCTCATCGGGGCTCAGTGAACTAGCGATAATAACACTACTACAGAATGACAAAGTAGTAATACCTTACTTTTGTGCTTTCAAGTTTGAAAAGCCCTTCCATTAATATTATCAAAATGTAATTCTCACAACCTTCTAAGGTTAATGGTAGTCACTCTCATATTATTCCCATTTTACAGATGAGAAGACTGAGTCACAGAAAAGTTACGCAACTTGCTCAGGTCAGTGAACCTTTTTTTTTTAACTATTCTGGTTCTCGATTTGTAAGTACCTCCATGGTTAAATTGGGGTAGGGGATAAAAGAACAACCACTGCAAAAATGGTACACGGGCAGTGTCTGGTCCAAACGTGAGGCTGTCCAGGTTCTTCTGAAAGCTTCTCAGACAACAGAGGGCCGCTTCTGGGCCCTGAGGGCTGCTACCAGCCTGGTTTATAAGTTGATTGTAACGTAAGTGAGACATGAGATATCGGGGCTGGGGCGGAGGCCAAGGACCACATGGGATTCAAAGCTCGGCATCGCAGGTCATTGATCAGTGCAAGTTCTCAGGTATTACCCTGGCTGCTTCATCAAACCGTAGTGATGTCTCGGCAGATCTTGCGGGTCCTTAACCCTGTGATAGTCAGTGTCCCGGTCTCCTGCCTCCTGTGACTCCAGGCAGAGAGGAGGCTTCAATTCAACCATTTTCAATAGGGTGATACTACCAGCTGAGGGGCAACTAGCGTTTTGCACACTGGGAAAAAGATGTTCAATACCCTGCCGTTCCTGAGACTGTCCTACAAAATAAACAATTGTCCTGTGCCCTACACAACTGTCAAATTGTGTAGGGCAATTTGGACAATACTGGAGGTGAAAAGCCTGACTTTATCATCTTCTACTAGGACTCAATACAGATTATTTTTTGCGTGGTTTTAGAAAACATTAAATGCATGCAACCAGTATGTAAATTAAGATTGTACTTTAACAGTGCTCACAACATCGGAAAGCATCGTATCTGATGGCAGTGCTGCATGTAGTCTTGAAATCCCATTATGGCCCAGCTGCATTTGTGATGTTGCTAGCACCAGGAGTCTGTTCAGCGGTGCAGTGCTGTGCTTCATCAGGGCTTCCAAAGTAGTCATGCCCACGCATTTGCATATGGAAATACATGTTAATTTATCATAAATTGCCTTTTTTTTTTTTTGAGACAGAATATCGCTGTGTTGCCCAGGTTGGAGTGCAGTGGTGCGACCTTGGCTCACTGCAACCTCTGCCTCCTGGGCTCAAGTGATTCTCCTGCCTCAGCCCCCTGAGTGGCTGGGACTACAGGTATGCACCACCATGCCCAGCTCATTTTTGTGTTTTTAGTAGAGACGGGTTTTCACCATGTTGGCCAGGATGGTCTTGATCTCTTGACCTCGTGATCTGCCTGCCTCAGCATCCCAAAGTTCTGGGGGATTACAGGCCTGAGACACTGTGCACAGCCCATAAATTGCCTTTTTTTTTTACAGTTAAGATGTTGACCTTTTAAAATTATGAGTATGAATGTATTATATGACCTTTACTTTTATTTCAGGATAATAAGGGAGTATTATGATATATTTGTGATAGAAAAGAGGCATTGAGTTTGAGAATCACTGCTCTGAGCAAATGGCAGTTCCCTTTTTTCCTAAAAATCATAGGATTTCAGGGTTAGAGGAGCCCTTGACAGTCACTCAGTCCTTTCCCCACTCCATCTAGTATTCAAATCCATGCAGTTGGAGGACCAAGGACCTTCACACACCTGTTTCCTTCCTCCTATGATGTGACCCTTTGGAGTTCCCAGGATGGAACCCAGTGGGAAACAGGCCTGAAGGACCAAGGGCCCAGGCACAGTGAGCTTCACCAGATGTTGGCAGGTAGTATTATAGATATTGGGATCCAAGTGCCATTCCAGATCTCATCCACTTAGAGACGTTGGCATCAGCTCAGTGGAAAACCTAGTCTTACATTGCAAGAGGAAATACTGTACCCTCAGAGGCTCAGTCCATATCAAGGACCCCATAAATGCCGAGCTGGTGGACAAACGCACTGCATCTCAGAACATACCCTGGTGCTGGAGTTCTGAATGACTCCATGGCATCTGATCCTCAAGAAGCACTGGGCTAGGTGGAAAGTAAATAGATGGACTGGGGTCATTAGGAAACTAGAGGCAACTAGGTGAAGATGCCTGCTCTTGGCCGTTTATTCCAGCATCAAGCTTCAGTGACTTCAGATTCTTAGATGAAGGGGCTGTGTCGTGTCAGAAGGGCTGGCTTAGTGAGCTTCAGCCAGGGCCAGCCCCAGTGCCTCTGCTGACAGTGTCCCAAAGCTGCCTTGACAGTAGACGGACCTGAAAGGCACAATGCTGGGTTAAACCACCTGCAACCATGCTCAGATCTTTCCCCCATCTTTCTTCTCCGCTGCCCTCACTACCCCACGAACTTGCCCCTCAGTTGTTCCTTCCCATGCCGTACGCCCTTTCCCCTGGAGATGGACAGCTACACTCCACCTACTTCCCTCTAGCCCCCCTGGGCTGACACAGAGCCCTCTGTCTTCCTGTGGAATGCAGTAGCAATTCTGAGCATGGTGCTGGACAAGAAGTCCAGCTCCCCTCGTAAACTTTATAGCTTAGGAAAATAAACATGTGGTTTAAGGTCTTTGCATAGGCGGTGCTCACTGAGTTTGAGCTTGCTTTACAGAACGACGAAAGAAAATATTGGTAGAGCTAAGAAATTTCTGAGCCAGCCAAGGGACAGTAGTCCAGAAATCTTGGGGAGGGTTTGATGGTTCAGGCAATAAAATGAGGAGTCATCTATGTAACTGTTATCTCACTCCCCTCTCTGCCTGCCTGAGTGATGGAGCCAGGCTCCCTTGTTCCTTGGGGCAAGGAACCAGTACAGGGATAGGGAATCACAGTGTTTCCTAGCTGCAAGGGCCCTTGGAGATGGTTTTACAGATGAGGAAGCAGGGTCCAGAGAAAGGCAGTGATCTGGGAACCACTGTACTTTTCATACAAGCAACCTTCCGGACATCTGCTATGTGCTGTCCCAGCATGGTGAGGGGGTAAGGAGACCACTGAATGCATGTGTGCAAGCAGCGGGGCAGCAGCAGGGTTCAAGGCCATTTCTGAGGTTTACTTCCTGGGTTTGTGGAAGAGAAGAGACCCCTGAAGAAGGAAGAATGACTATGAGGTTTTCAGTTGGGGCAGTGGGTAGTAAGAATAAAAATAAGATCAGTATTGTCTTGTTATTTACTATACATTTACTCTGCCAGGACCTGCTGTCTCCCCACTGAATCCTCAGAACACTGAGAGGCTCATATTAAAGTTCTCAATTTGCAGTTAAGAAAAACTGCAGCTCAAGGGGGTCGAGTCATTTGCCCACAATCACCTAGCTGGTAAATGCAGAGCCAGAGTCAAACCCATGCTGCCTGACCCCTGAGGCCTGGACACCTCTTATAGCTTGCTGGAACAGGCTATGGGAAAGCAGACAAGAAGATTGGCTTAGGCCAGGCTAAATTTGAGGATCCCATGGAATAGTCAGACATAAATGCAGGTCCAGGCTGCAGATGGGCAGCAGAGAGGGATGTGGATTTGGGTTACCTGCTAAAGGAATATTGAAGCCAAGTCTCTTTCCTGCCAAAGTCTCTCTTTGGGACACTGAAACTCCATGTGTAGAGAGGGGTGCAGGAGGACAGGGTGGAAACCTGGGGAAGTCAGTGGTTACAGGCAGGCAGAAGGCACCTGGAGCTCTGTTTACAATGGGCAGGTCTATGCAATCCCACCCCCGAAGTCTAAAGAAGCTGAGAGGCTGAAGAAAGGGGCTGACAAATCCAGTTTCTTAGAAAGAAACATTTAATAGAAACTTAAGAAAAGAAGCCATGTTTAGGTCTCAGGTGGCAGGGACAGGAGATGGTGGATTCACATGCCATTACCCACCAGACCCAGGGCTTATATATCACAGGGGAGGGGTGGTTCGGAAGGGATGTGTGGGACGTTTGTAGTATGATAACATCAAGGTCGTATGACCTAAGGGCAGGATTTACAGCAAGTACTTGCTCTGACACAAGGAACAATGGATATGCTGGGTATCTTAGAAGCCTTCCCAGAACTGGGGATAATCAGAAGTCAACGTGGTGGGTAGCATCCAAGATGGAGTTGCTTTGGCCTTCACAGGCTCTAAAGGTGGCTCTGGCCTTGCTTGCTGCAGAGAAGAGGCCACACCACAGCAGAATGTTCCTGGCTTGCAGGCTGATACTATAGCCACTCAGTGAGAAAAAGCAGTCCCCATGGCAACCAAGGCCATGGGGACAGGTACATGTTCCTCTCCTACTATGCCTTCCAGGCACAGTCATTCTCTCCAGGCCGGGCCAGCAGCATCTGAATCTGAATGCCTACCCTATGCAAGTAGGCATTCACTTCAAACCCAGTATCTTCCCCTTCCAGGAATTTATTCTGAAGACATAACAAGGGGTGTGCATGAGGATATGTATCACAGCATTAGTTCTGTTTGTGAAAAATCACAAATCATATAAATCTCCCACAAGAAAGGATAGATTACACCATTAAATACATGCTGACAGTAAAATCAAATTGTAGAATAATATCGATGGCCAACAGTTTTGACATATTATGTTTTAACTGGCAGGCTACGAACAGTATGAGAACTTTTTGTAATGTAAAGGATGGATATGTGTACATATTTCATAGGCAAACATTAAGTGCACATGCCAGGTGGTTAATAGGATTCTTTTCGGGTTGAGGAATTGTGTCAGTGGGTTTTCTGTCTTTTTCTTTTTTCCGATATTGCAAGGTTGGTTTGTTTTTACATTGAGCATATATTAGGTTTGTAATTTGAAAGAAGAATTCTTTATGTAAGGATTACTCATGAATAATATTAGCAAATGCTTGCCTGGTGCGTATTTTATGCCAAGCTCTGTTCTGAGTGCTTTTCATGGATTAAGTGATTTAACCCTCATGAGAATTTGGACATGGGAACCATGGCGCAGGAGGGCTGGGCAGGTTGCCCAGGTCAGCAGAGTTGGTATGTGGCAGAGCTAGAATCTGAAGCCAAGCCATCTGCCAGCAGGGTCCATGCAATTAACCACTGTACCACACTATTACTCCCCAGTGGAAAAAGGCGATCCCCATGGCCACCAAGGACGTGCGAGGAAGTGCACATGTGCTTTTAGGGGTTTCCTTGATACACCTTGATCCCAAGTGCTCCATGATGGCAATGCTCAGGTACTCTGTGCAGTGAATGAATGCAAGTGACAGGCCCCACTTGTCCCCCAGGATCTGAAAAGATGTTCCAGCTTTTGCTAGGTTTTGAGCACAACCATGATAGGACTTAAGGAACCTTCCCTCCCTACCTTGTCAGTGGGTGACTTGACTTCCTCATCTGCTCTGGAAGATGGCTGTCTGCTGAGAAACCTGTCCTGTCTTCCACCTTCCTGGGAGAGTGGAGGATGGCTCAGGGTATCATGGCTCTGCCCCCATCGGGGGGATTCATTAGCTGTGGTAGATCATTGCTTTGTGGCATTTGACGAACTGTATCTCCTAGAAGTCACACTTCCGTGTGGTCTCTCCCGCATTGACTCTGGAGTTGGCCACGTAGCTTTCTTTGGCCAATGGGATATTAACAAGCATGATGCAAGCAGAGGCTTTATAAGTGCTTGCGCCCCGGGCTTGTCTTCTCAGACAGTGCCTCGTGGAACCCAGCCACCCTGCTGCTAAAAGGAAGTCTAGACTAGACCTGTGGATAATGCAGGGACATGGGAGAGAGGATCTGGAGGATAAGAGGCCATCTTGGACATTCCAGCTTCAAATAAGCTCCCAGATGAATGCAGCTGCTAAGTGAGCCCCGCCAAACCACCCAGCTGAATCCAGTCAACACACAGATTCATGAGAAATCGTAAATCATTGTTGTTATAAGCCACTAAATCAGTAGTTTGTTCAGCAACCACAGGTAACTGAAATACTGGTCTTTTCCTGGACACTTCTGAAAACATATCCATAGACATTTATTAAGTACCCACTGTGTGCCCAGCCCTGTTCTAGGTTCTATGGGATAATCATGAAAGGATTCTGATTAAGAAATGAGACTCTGAGGAGACCAGGCTGCTATAGGCAGTAAGTCTGAAGAAAGGTTATGGCTAAATTGCTGCATAGTAAGGAAAGACGACTATTTCCCCAACTCAGCCCCCAGCATTTCACCTCACAGCAAAACTGCTGTAGCCGATAAACGTGGCAAACAGGGGTGGCATTGTTGGATGCATTGACCTTTTACTTTATTATAATGATGGTTTCGGACACCTTGGGCCCCTGCTTTGTTAAATGCTGTTCCTGTGTCAGGACAGTATTCCCCATGCACTTAAAAGGGAACCATTTGTGTGGCCCTTCAGATCAAAGAAGGTAGATGAGATGGAGAATTGAGTGGCCTACTCAGCTGATGGACTGCGACTCACCATCACTGCTCTTTAGTGGTGGGAGGGGCCTTGCTGGTGCTTCTGCTTGACTCAGCTAGGACTGGGCTGCTCAGAGCTTCATGAATATTCAGCTTCTCCATGAAGGCCTACTGCCTAGAACACTGGAGCTAGACAGACCCAGAGGTCATCTGGCCTGATGTTCTCACTGTTGAAAGGGAGAAACCGAGGCCCAGAGGTGAGAAGGGCTTGCTGGAGGGCACACAAGGTTCATAGCTCCTCCATCACTGGCCTTGGTCTCAGCTGTGGTCTGCAGATCCTCTGAGCCTGCAAATCCCATGCTCTTTCTCTTCCTGGCCTCCACCCTTCTGCTCAGGGCTTGCTTTGGTGGCCAAGCAATCAGGGAACTGAGAAGGTCCAACCAATTGCAACAAGGCTATATACATCAACCTCTGCTTCAGACAGTATACATGAAACTGCAAAAGTGTGAAAAGACACAATTCCACTTAAAGCATTTAAAGGTGTCCTGAGGGGAGTCCTTGGGAAAGCAGGCAGACAGCGCATCATTTTACTTTCTCTCCTAGTTTGATTTTTAATCTGGATTTTGCTTCCAAGGGGCCATGCGTCATACTGCACACTTAAGGGAATGTCAGTTGTACTTGAAACTCTACACATTCCTGAGCAGCCCCGTTTCCCATCTGGACCACCGCAGGACCCCTGGATGGCAGGACCCCTGGCCTCAGGAGCCTTGCTGCTGACATTGGTCCCGAGAAGCCTATTCATAGGGCTTTGTGGACTGGCCACTTCTTTTCTTTGCTTCTTGATCTTTTTTCACTGAGATCAGATGAGGAGAGCCAGGACTATGGGTAAATTGCATGAATCAAAGATACATCTGGAATGTGCTAGGGAGCCTGGGAGGCTGTTCAAGCCAAGGCATCATCATTTCTCAAATCGGGAAAACACAGACATGGAGGGGCAAAGGGGTTTTCCCAAGGCCTGGGGCTGGTGGGCTCGATGCCAGGAGAAGACTTGGGGGTGCTGCCCTCGGCTGGAGGACAGGATGAGTCAGGCCCCCAAGGTGTTTTCCCCACATGGTTTCAGTTCTTAGGTCAGGGTCTTGGCGCCTGAGGGATAGCCTGGTCCAGGCCGCATGGAAATCCCGAGCTGCTGCAGCATCTCACTCGGATCGGGCATGTCTGGGAGGCAGCAGGTTGCCAATAAGTGATTTACAGCATGTTCCCTGATGTTTTACATTTTCATCATTTCATGTTGCAGCCCCATGTACAGTAATGGGATCTGCAGAGGAGTGCTGCGCCCCAGCCTGCTATCTGCAGGAGCCCGAGTGGGGTTCTGCGTAGTCTCAGGTCGCCAGCAATGATTTTCACAGTGTGACTGTGGTGTCTCAGGACCCTGGGACCCAGGACCACCATCGTGACCACCTTCCTAGTCTTCACTGCTTCCTTTACACCTCAACTCCAAAGACCTCTCTGAGCTGCACGCAGTTCTGGGCTCTCGGAGTGGCAGAGGACTTGGGTGCCACGAGAGCACCATGCTCAGCCTCCCCTGACCCTGACTCAAACAAAACTATTAGATGCATCCCCTACCCTATCTATCTGTCTGAGGACTCTCTGAACCTTTCCACTGGTGGGAATGTAAAGTCATGCAGCCCTGTGGAAAGGAGTTTGGCAATTCCTCAAAAGTGTATTATATAGAATGACTGTATGACCCAGCAACTCCCCTCCTAGGCATATGCCCAAAAGAACTGAAAGCAAATACTGGTGCATGCATGCTTATGGGAGCATTTTCCACACCAGCCAAAGGTGGAAACAGATGTCTATCGGCAGATGAATGGCTAGGCAAGGTGTAGTATATACATAGAATGAAAAACTATTCAGCTATAAAAAGGAATGGAATTCTGATACATGCAATAACATGGATGAACTTCAGAAACATGCTAGGCCTCTAAGCTAAGCTAACATGCAAAGAAGCCAGATACTGAAGGTCACATTGTATGATTCTGCTTATATGAAATACCTGGAAAGAGACAGAAAGCAGATCAATGGCTGCCAGGGCCTGGGAGGAGTGATTGCTTCGTGGGTATGGGTTTTCCCTTTGAGGTGATGAAAATATTCTGCAACTAAATAGAGGTAGTAGATGCACAGCATGGTGAATGTTGGTCTTGAACTCCTGACCTAAAGTGCTACTAAACTGTGTGCTTTAAAATGGTTAATTTTATGTTGTGTGAATTTCACCTCTAAGAATTTTTTTCTTTTTTTTTTTTGAAACTGAGTCTCACTCTGTTACCCAGGCTGGAGTGCAGTGGCGTAATCTCAGCTCACTGCAACCTCCGCCTCCCGGGTTCAAGCGATTCTCCTGCCTCAGCCTCCCAAGTAGCTGGGACTACAGGCGCCTGACACCACACCAAGCTAATTTTTGTATTTTTAGTAGAGACGGGGTTTTGCCATGTTGGCCAGGCTGGTCTTGAACTCCTGACCTCAAGTGATCTGCCCACCTCAGCCTCCCAAAGTGCTGGGATTACAGGTATGAGGCACCGGGCCTGGCCTAAGAAAAAAATTTAGTTTAAACTTGCTACTGCCTACAAATCTCACAGCGTCCTGGTGTCACAAATATTAGCCATAACTCCACCTGTTAACCCAGAGCTCCGGGTTCCTGACGTGAGGTGGTTGGTGAGATTGTTGAGGCAGGAATTTGAAGATGGGCCTGCAGTGGGACTGCAGGTCAGGGGGTTGGCACGGGGACCTCTCTTAGCCAGTGAGTGCACTAGAGGCCCACAGCACAGGCATCACACCCTAGATCTTTAGCTTTGTCCTCTCTCCCTGTCCCCATGCACACCGTAACACTCATCATGTGCTTTGCTGCACCTGATGGGAGGAGTTAACGATATGTAATAGTGGTAGCTGAGAACTGGGGGTGTGGGGGTAACATGGCTTCAAGACACTTGCTTTGTGACTGACTGGGAACTATTGAGAGGCCCAGATCTCTAGCTTGGGCTTCCAAACTCAGTGGATGAGCTCAGTTAAGTCCCACCACCACCCCGCCCCTCCGGGAGAACACTCCACTCCTCTGCCACTCTCTTGAACACTGGGATTATTTCTTCCTCCACACCAGAGCACCACTCTTCTGTGAAGGCTCTCCAGCCCAGCCTCCAGCTTTCCCTTGCTTGCCTGAACTCCTGAGTTCACTGCCTGGGCCTCTTCCCTGGTGTTTAACCTACCCGTGTGCGGATGTAGGTCAGTCATACGAAAGTTTGTCATTTTGGTAGTTAATATCAGCCTTACTCTGTATTTGCTTTATGAGGAAGTGAAATATATTTTACACACTTATTTTGTCTTTGGTACTTGGTTGGGATTCTATAATTAATACTGCTGTTTAAATGTAGACTGGCTGCACGTGGCTCCTTCAAATCTGACACATTTCCTCTTGGGCTTGTCACAGGTGATGTGACCTGGGCGTTTCCCTGGACTGATGGCAGCAGCATTGTTAGCAGGAAAGCAGGTGGAATAGGAGGCTCTGTGGGATTGGGATGTGGACAGTGGGAGATGCCAGAGGCACCCCAATCTTACCCTGAGAAGGGTAAGCCCTTCTCAACAGGGCTCCTGGCCTTCCCCAGCCAGGCTAGCCCTCAAAAGATACCAGCCAGTTCCTGAAAGAACCCCCTACCCCTCCAATGCTGCTTTCCAGGAGGGCTGAGAGCAGAGGGCCCTGCTTGGCTCCTTCTGCACTGCTGTCTTATTTATGCTTCCTGTGACTTTAGGCTTTGGCTTTGGAGCAATGAGGCCTCAGTGTAAAACTAACGGGAAAAAGATGGGGCTTGGCGGAAGGGTGGCACATCCAGAGCCTTAGAATGAGCCGACCCCCTGGGGATCTTCTGTAGTGCAGTGGTTTTGAAATTGCCTTTCTGATTCAAAGGAAAGCCCTTGGACTTCCATTAGAGAGCAATGCTGATGACTCTCTGTCCTTTCTTTGGTTCTGATATGGGGATGGGTGTGGGTGGGGGGTAGGGGAGGGGGGATGTAGAGGAGTGGGGAGAACAGGCTGGCAGAATAAACAGTGTCAGCCCCGGCATGGGGCTGTCACTGGAGGAAGGGTTATGCCCTAGGGAGAGGATCATGGGGGTGCCTAGTGACAAGGAGAGGGGTTGACTCTGGAGGAGGGAGCTGAGAACAAAGAAAGCGAACATCCACACCAAGAGAGAAAGGGAATGCATGGGGGCAGGGCGAGCACACAGAGACCAGCCCCCCTTCCCCACCCTCCTCTCAGCCCCCAGACACTGACGTTCTCAGGCTGCCCTTTCACATATGGGCCTAATTCAGGTAGAGTGAAATCTTGCATTGCTCTGGGTAAAAATTATTGCTTTGGATAATGAAATCTTTGTCATTGGAAACTCTAAAAGAAAAAAATGCCCTTCAAGCCGTGACTTATGGGCAGTGTGGTGATGGAAACGAATTCATCATCCCATTTCCCGCATTGGAATGGGAGGACAAGGTTGATTCATAGCTGGGCCGCGTGCGGCTGGTCCCGCGGGCCGGGTGGCGGCTGGGCCTGCTGAGGAGCCAGCAGGGGAAGCTCCGGCCGAGCGCTGGGGCTGTGGGAGCCTGGTGATAAGCGGCTGGTTGGCACGCTCTGGTCTCAGGTTTTCCTGAGGATTTGCCTGAGCTGTCAAAACATTTTAGGGCTGTACAGAGACTGTGTGCTTCAACAAAAAAATCCCATAATAGCTCTATGAAACAAGCTGTATTTTTTTCCTTTAAACCCTAAAACTCATATCCATAAAAAAATCAATCAAAGCCATTTGACCAGCACGAGTGAACAGCATGGCTGTGAATCTCTCTGACTGTGGTACTTTTCATCTGGGAAGTACAATGTGCTTTCGAGTTTGTATTTCATTGAGGTTCCGGCCTCCCCACAGGATAGACGAAGGGAACACATCGCTGAATGTGTTTGATAGAAGAGGAGTTCGGCCACAGCCAATGATCCTGAGCGTGCTGCACATGGAACCGGGAGCCTCGGGTCCCTAGCTCAGGGTCTGGGCCTCATCCCCTGGCCTCCAGGTGGTGGTCCACCTCCGGGCCCTGCGTTCCTTCCTTTTCATGACAAGGGTTTGGCCACCTGGCACCAGGGTCCTGACATTTTTATAGGGCAGAGCTGTTTTTGTTTCCTTGAAGCCTAAAGGTCAGTGAGCATGAGAAGTTGTAGAAAGGCTGAAGGGAATTCCTGGGCAGACTTGGGGTGGAGGACCTCCCAAGGGCTGGGGCAGAGTCCTACTGGTCCGCTGGTTTGGAGACCCACTAAGTAAGGCAGCAGGACCTCCTTGGACTCCTGTCAGGTGACATCTGGTCAAGTTGTCATTCCTCCCACAGCAGTTCTTCATGGGGAAATGGGCCGTGGAGGGAGGGTTGTTGAGATGGGCAGGTGATGGCTATTGCTGGTGTTCAGACTCTGCCACCTCCTTCATTTCTTCACCAAATATTTGTATGTGAGTGCTGGCTGACCTAGGCACTGGGGATTAGGGAAAATAGGACAGATACAGGCCACTTTCACTTTTAGGGCATGGGAGAGACAATAAGTAATAAATAAATAAATGAATGAGGAAATTTCAGGTAAGTTGTATGAAGAAATTATGACCGAGTAAGGAAAGGGAGAGGGCCTGGGGGATTCTTTGGATTGGGAGGTCAGCAAGGCCTTTGCAAGGAGAAGTCCCCCAGACTTAGTCCCAAAGACAAGATGGGGCCTGCTGTATTAAAACCTAGCAGGAGAGTATTCCAGAACAGCAGCAGAGTCCCTGAGGTGGGAACACACAGACACAATTTGCCAACCCCTGGCAGCTGAATATTCACCCAGAACCCATGTGCCATGTGTGAGACTAGGAAGCGGGCGTGTGGGGTTTGCATTCTGTCTGCCTGTTTACTTACTAGCTGTGGCGCTCTGAGCAAGTCACTCAACCACCGAGACCAGCTTCCTTATCTGTGAAATGGGAGGATGACTCTCTCTGGGGATTACTGTGTATATTAGAAATGATGTCATGTAGCCAGGCGTGGTGGCTCAGGCCTGTAATCCCGGCATTTTGGGAGGCCGAGGCAGGTAGTTCATTTGAGGTCAGGAGTTCGAGACTATGCTGGCCATCATGCTGAAACCCCATCTCTACTAAAAATAAATAAATAAATAAATAAAATAGCTGGGCGTGGTGGCGTGTGCCTGTAATCCCAGCTACTTAGGCAGCTGAGGCAGGAGAATTGCTTGAACCGGGGAGGTGGAGGTTGCAGTGAGCTGAGATCATGCCACTGCACTCCAGCCTGAGCGACGGTGAGACTCCATCTCAAACAAATAATCATAATAGAAATGATATCATGTAAAGGCTTTAGCACTGCTCCTGGCACCCAGGATTGGTAGTTTGTTTTATGGCTGAAGGCTCCTTCTAACTCTCCCAGAGCTGCCTGGTTTCTCATTCCTCATTGCCTGGGAGCAAAGGCCCAGCCTTCGGTGCCAGCCCCTCACCCCATAGTCTGGTCTGGTGTTCTTGGTCCAGACACCAACATAGGCTCCCTAGAACTCAGGATTGTCTGTTCTCAGGACGCCAAACGTCACTGCTTCTGGAACTGCGACAAGGCAGTGGCACTCTTGCTTCCTGCCTGGGTCGTGAACATCCCCTCTCAGAACCACGTGCTCTTCTTGCAGCAGACCCCTCCTGCAGGCCAAGGCCTCAGCCACACCAGAGCCAGCCCAGAAGGAAAGGCAGATCTGCTGTGAAGATCCCAGTGCCGTCCCAACTCTCCTTTTGGCTATGTGGCCTTGAATGAGTTATTCAACCTACCGGGCCCAATTGGCCTCATCTGTAAAATAATGGTACTTGCAGAGGTAGACAATTACAGTTTTACTACAACCAGTTTTATATGAGAAAGGAATGATCTTAGTTTAGGAAAATGCACAGTAGGACACGGGGGTGGGAGGGATCCTTAGGGGAGGCTGGAGTAACAAGAGGGATAGAGAACCATTCTAGTCTGCATGAGAAGGGACCAGAATTGGTAGTGGACTCGGGGAGGGGATTAGACAAGAGAGGGCTGCCACAACCAAGAACTGAGGCAGGGGGGAGGAAATGGCCAGGGACTTCCTAAGAACATAAGTCCACTTTTAATTTTCCCTGCATCATGGAGTGTGATGCACATTTCTCGCTATTGCCCCTAAATCTTCAGAAAAATCTTTACATCCATCTTCCATGCCTGCTTGTCCTCAGAGGCTTGGGAATCAGGGAAGGGTTCCAGGTCTGTGCTGGGGGTTGTCATAGGAAGAGCCACAAAACAGAGAAGGACAATTCAACAGAATTCTGAAATCAGAGCCAGAGGAGGATAGAAGAAGCGTGAATCTTTGAGAATTTCCAGAAGTCTTGGTGAGGGCACTGGACGTGCCATGGGGAGGGGTTCAAGACAATCAGGTCTGGATTTTAAGGGCTAGATGACGCCAGCTGACACCAGGGTTCACCACTTTGTAAGGCACTGGGGGAGAGTCAGCAGCTTCTGTGGGCATTTGTATTCAAAGTGCTCTCTTACAAGACATTC